TACGTTGCTTCACTATTCTATTCATGAAACTAAAGCAATAAGGCAAAGGTAGTTTGTTTTTTTATGCAGGTGCTTTTTACATAAAAATAAATATGTTGTTGTACAGCCACGTTATAGAAATTCTAAAATAAACTTTAAATCCACCATCTGCAAACATGAGTTGATTTCGTTTAATTTATCTAGAAGCCCTATGATTCACTGACTGAAAGCTTTCGAACCTTTTAATTAAATGTATGTTTATTTGTAAACACGTTGCCAAGTAAATGTTTCAGCTGTTTACCCTTCCAGTATTATTAACAACGTTCCTCACTTAGAAGCGAAAGTAGTTAAAGTTTTGGGTTTTATTATTGATGGGTAACCATTCAACCATCTACCTTCAAAGTTAGAATCACTTATTTAAAATTCATTATTTTTCTAATTTTTTTTTCCAAAAAATAATAAAAATAAAAGTACAGATATACATTTTAGGTCATTTACATGTGAAGAAGCATTTTGCTTCAGTGCAGATATTTTTGTATTATACGTTCCTAAGTTTGTTTGTCTTTTGTTAAGCACGAAGCTATACAATGGGCTATCTGTGCTCCTCCAACGGCTGGAATCGAAACCTTATATTAGCGTATTCAAGCCCGCAGTCTTACCTCTGAGCCCCCGGTGAGCTTTTCCTTCGTTATGCCACATGCAATGCACTACATAGATACATATGTTTTTGTGTGTTTGTTTTGCATAATCACTAGCTATCACTAATTTTGAAATGGCAGAAAGAAGATTGCTAGTGAACAAAATCCACCGCCTACTCTTGGGCTATTGTAATTGAATAGTAAGATTTGACTGTCGCTCTTTTAACGCTCCAAAGCTCAGAACACCATTACCTTCTGATCTTCAACTCGATCAGCTAATGACTAGGTCATGTTTAGTAATTTCTCAGAAATAAATATAATTATCTATTGATAAATGACTAAAATCCAATGACTAAATGCTTCTTCGATAGTTTTATTTACACTTCTTTACAATTTGATTTTATTGCAATTGAACGAATTAATTATATCTTAAACATAAAATGATGCGGTTTGTTATCGTTTTCTGTTATTAAGAAAACACACCAGCAAAACTATAGAAAAGAGACTATTTTAAACGTTAAAAAAATGATTTATGATATGAATTTCATTAAAAATACTTGTTTATAACTTTTTCGATTCATTTCAGAATATTTTTCAAAAACGTTTATATCACTACGTTTTGCTTGTACAGAGAATTATACACGCTCTACGATTTTATTTTTTAGACAATGAAATCGCTGTTCGTATTTACGTGATGTTCTAAAGGTTTTTTCTACATGTTATAACTTTTTTACCACTTTTACTGAAGTTATACTCGGTGTTTTTAATATTTTCTTGTTCTCTGAAAGCTTTTGTTTTAAGCAGATCTTTGGCTTGAACTAAAACAGTTTCTTTCTCTTTATCTGGGGAAAATAACTGTGATCCAAAATAAAACTCGTGTTAAGTAAACTGAAAACTAAACCTTCCTAAAAGATTTACTTTTTTTTTTTTATTTCATGATAAATTTTGTACTTAGATTTCACAGAGTATGTCCCAGTTTTTCTTCGGTTTGAAATAATATTCCTTTGAACTGTTAAATCTCTGAGGTACTTCTGAATGTCTAGCACTTCTAACATTCACCAATACTAGGAGCATAAAAGTGACTTGTATCTCTATGTTTAGTCATGTTACGCTGTTAATTGCAAACCTTCCTAAACATGGCGAATTATATGAAATAATCTAATTGTAAGATACAGAAAGTTATGTATTGAATTAAAGGAAAGGGATAAAAACACATAGAAGACGATTGTCAAAATTAAAATAGTTCAAATAAAAATAAATATTCTACACGAAAAAATGAATCTAATCAAAACAGTTTTGAAAATGGAGATACTACTGATAATGAAGGTCCTGTGAGTATGAAAATATACAAAAATAATTTCAATCAAGGTTATTGTTCTGATAAAAAGCCACTATATGAGGGATATACCTAGAAAGAAGCTAAAATGGCATAAACATATTTCTACAACTATCAACGTTTGTGAAGATTACGTAAAAATTAAAGCTTTAGCTACAGACTAGATGTGGTTCCATTAGCAAATAAATCACAACAACCTTACTAAAATTAATGAATAAAGGTGAATATGATGAGTGAGAAGCTATCCATGCAGAGAAGTAAATATTAACTGAAATAACTACTTAATCAAAAATTGGATTAGTGTAAAAAAATATAGATAAATTAAAAACAACAAATAAGTGTTGTTGTTTTTTTTAGTGACAAGTCTAAGTGATCCTTATATGGGCAAAAGTTTTGCACTCTTTAAGCCCGGGAGTTTTGGGGATGGAATGGAGTAGAAATGGTAAACTCCATTTTATGGTAAGTTTCTTTTTCCTCTGTTCTTTGATTAGAGCTTCTACTCAAAGTACCTCTGCTTTTAAACTGATATGAAACACATCAAAAGATGGATGTCATTGTTTTAAACTCAAAATCTCTGTTAATAATATCCTTATGGGTTTTCTATTACCCAATATGTGTTAAAATAAAATGAGTTGAATAGGGCCCCTCCGCAAATGTTTTGATTACGTCATGGCCAAGATGTCTGCAACGATTGGAGATCGTATAAGATGGCTACGCCATAACTGAAACAACGAGGAGCTTAACCGAGATTACCTAACTCATAGAAGATAAATTAAGACGTCTGAAATGTCTTTGAGTTCCATCACCAATGGGCATATTTAAGATAACCATGCCCACTGGGTGGCGCTATCTTCTTCAAGATGACTGTGACATGTCTAAATACATTTCACAACCAAGAATGGCTAATTCTAGATGGTCGCATCTTGAAGTAAATAGGATGTGACGTCTAACATCACAAATCAGGGTCATATCAAGATCATAGGTTAGTATGACATAAACCTAGTCTAGCATCATTAGTAGTAACTTGTATTCTTTAGGGGAATAAAGTCTTACATAAAGACATAAAATATGTTTGAATGAGTTAAGTTATTTTGGCTAAAAATAGAAACGAAGCAATAAACTCTGTAGAATCAGATGAGGTTCCTAAGTTAGGTACGCCGTAATAAATATGTGTACATGTTTTAAGACTCTCTTTACCAAACTTCTATAACCCTTTTATTATTTAGTTGATAGTAAGTGTATGGATAGTGTGTTTCTTTTAAATATATATATATACTTTTTACTACTGAAGCACGTACTTTATAGTCTTATTTCAAGTGTGTTTTCCTTTGATGGTTGATAAAGTGTCTGTCTGTAAATTTTCGTCCGCTACCGTAGCTAATGAATGATTAGAAATAACCAAAAGAACAAACATAGGCTTTAAGTACGTGGATTTGTGTTAGCCTAACTCTTAGCTCGAGGTTTATTTCATTTCGACCAACCTTTGTCCCTCTGTCTGGTAGACGAAAATCAATTAAACAAAAACTGTGACCGAAACTTAAAATGTTATCGTCGGGTGTGAGCATATTGGTTTGTTAATATTTTATCAGACCAATAAGATTTTAAAATGATCAGTGCTTTTATCGACTTTCTATAACATTTTTTTTTGAAATCTAATTTGCACTACATTTGGTGATATATCAATAAACATTCACAAAATGTTAACTGTATTTCTACTTATAATACTTCTTAGATTATCGAATTTAACCAAGAGCAATAAAAGTGACACATAGCAAAATATGTTAATTAAAAGGATATTAAAAATATATACATTATGTGGAGTGAAACTGAAGTAGCATCTACTATTCAGAAAGATATTGGAGCAGAATCTATCATTTACAGTAATGATGAAACAATACACATTTGGTGCAACATATGAACAAATACATATAAATTTAAATATCTTTTGTGATAGTCAGGTGATATTTCATTATTATATATCAGAAACATGATACGCTCTATAACTCTTAGCAGAAGTCAGAGTCATTGAAATTTCACAGCAATATTAAGATACAGAGTGACATTTCCAAAAGTTACAATTACAGAAAATGCAGAATGATGAATTTAGTAAATGAAGAACAGACTCAAATGCAAGCCAAAGTCATGTCAGCATCTCTCACTTTGGAGAACATAGAATGTTTTTATGTAATGTTAAGTGTCACATTGTCACTGAATGCTTAATCATTTAAAAGGTTAAATCTCTGCGAGATTACCTGGCTGACGAGTCTACTTGTAATGCACGTTTTGCTAGATTTTGCTCTTAAATCGTTCTTTATAAGTGCCAATTTGCTAATTTACAGGACAGTTTCTATTCAACTACTACACTTTATCTATTAGATAGCTAAAAGATAATATTATGATCTACAGAAAGTTGTTCTGGAAAAGGGGTTCAATTATTGTTTGGTACAGTAAAAACGTAATGTAGTTGTTCATTAAAATAGAAAACTTTTAATTTAAATCTACTTTTTCATCAATAGCCACTTTAGAATAGTTTAGAAATTTACTTATTAGTTCTTTAATACTTTATATTTCAATTACTTGATACTTAAAACAGACTGTAAAATCATTTACTTAATTAAGCACGAAAATGTATATATATATATATATTTTTAGGTGACTTCAATATTTATTGCTGTGTGCATTACAATTCTACCTTTACATTTAAGTCTATTTACTATTCTATTTCTGCGTATATTGCAATTTTTATCATTTAATTTACTTGTTTACTCATAACTGACTTTAGTATTTTACTGATAGTGACTTTAACGCTTGTTTGCTTTATATACTGTATATTATTGACTTCAGCTCTTCAGTGTGTTTATTCATATTTTAAATAAATCATATAACTACAAAAATCGAAGGTTTTAAAAAGTGGTTTTGCAAATAGGGTTTTTATAGTTGTTTGCTCTTAGAAAACTTTAATCTTATTGTAAGTTACTTTCATATTTACTGAATGTTTTTTCTTAAAATATCAAAAGTTAGTATCTAAGTATATTCAAAAAACTCACCAAATAACAGAGTCAGCATATCAGCCACAGCTAAGTTAAACAGGTAACAATTGGTGGCCGTCTGCATGTATTGATTCCGTGCAATCACAAGGCACGTACAGGCGTTACCTATCATTCCTGACAAAAATATCAAAGAATAAACAGTTGTTAAAGGAATCAGCCAGTTGAGAGGTAAGCGTTTAGGTCCCAGTCGCTGGCTTATGTAGGTTTCTACATCGAAAACATTGGATGATTCCATTGTAGTAAAACTGTGTGTGACGTTTACTCCTATGTCTACACTGCTCATCATCAAAGCAAAGTCACTAGGTTACTTGCCGCTTAAAACTTCTCATATTTAAAACTCACTAAACGCAGAATAGTGGAAAACAACTCGCTATATAAAACAAGTGAGAGGCAAGACAGATGTCGCTCTTCTAGGTGCACAAATGTCATGTCAGTTTCGTGGTTCAGTAAAAACGGGAAGTGTATATGCACAACCACCATAAAATGATCGCAGACCGAAAAAAAATATACAGATCCTGCGATTTAATCGTTGTGAAGTGAGAGAACTGTCAGATGATGAGATTTATCTGATGACTGTATCACGTTTTGTTAACCATCAGAATTCAATGGAGCTACAGTACTAACATGTTAACGTACTTAGACAAAAAAATATTCCGGTATCAGAAGCTTCTTCGGGAACGCTTAGCCTAAAACAAAACAAAAGTTTTAAGATGAGAACGTTACTTAACCTCGCACTATTCACAGGAACATGAAAGTGCCTGATAAATATAACGACTTACTATAAACTACCCTAAAAAACAACAACCATAAACAGTCTTACTCAGACTCGAAACTTATAGTGATGAACAAGTCTTCTTGAAAATCTGATCTACTATTTTTGATCGGCTAATCGTAATCGTATTTTCATACGGCAATGATCCCAGGCGACGTTGAAGAAAAATCTTGGAAGTATTTCTTGAGATTTTCTGCCTGTTATCATTTGATAAATACACCATTCAGCAGGTCATAACGACTAGATGTTGCCAACTGTCTGATGAGCATGTTTCTTTATCAAAAGTGGCGCTAAGAAGTAGAGGAGTTTGTAAACAAATTAATATTTTCGCACGGAATAGTTTAGTAATTAAATTTCTTTAACTTTTCTAACATCAATTTTTTTGTACAATGTTTTTACTTTATTACTTACCAGTAGACATTGTTTTGTACACATTCCAGACAAAACTTTTTACAAAAACTAAGTTTCCAATAATTCATATAAAGTAAGTTAAGGTGAATAGTTTAGGAGTGACTTGTGAAACAAAATTAATCAGAAATAATACCACAGGAAATTATCAGATAAATAAGTTGATTTTCATAATGTTACGCCTTCCGAGACTTGTAATTGACGAAAAAGAAACGAACTCTTCTTGGCCCTAGAATAAACGCAAAATCTGACAGCTTTATGCACCGAGGTCTTGCCAGAAGTGGCGACCGTTAGTCTAAACTATACGACGTCGTTTAGTGAGCACAGCTTCTTGCAGTTATTCGGTTCTTCCCCTATCGGCAACCTAATAAACTACGAGACGTTCGTTTTATAATGAAATATCATCTCTTGTTAATAATATCTTACAGCAGAGGCAGCATTTCTTTTTACTGCATACATCAGACATCGTACTGGAAAATAACTATATATTTATCGTGTGGCGGTATTGAATACTTGTAGAAATGCAGTAATTTGCGGTCGAAAAGAAATTTGTTTTTTTTATTGCGCTAAAATGTGTCGCAGTAACCATAGAAATAAAGCGGTCCTTTTACGAATTTTCAGGCTATTCAAATTAACCCTTACAAAGCGAATAAAATTTAAAGTTAAGGAGGTAAAATATTAATTTATTATGAAATAAAAACAATAATCCCTTCTGTTTAGTGGAAGATTGGTATTTGATGCAATATATTATAGTATTTGTTGTCTGTAAATATTATATGAGAAATATATAACCAACTGACCGATACAACAAGCAAATCAAAGTACTTACTGTTATATAGTATACTTTTTTTGTGTGTGTGTATATATCTATCGACTGGTGTAGATGCGACTCATAATCGTTTCGAAGAAAAAACATACTTTGTATCGTTTAAGTAAGAAAATAAACTTTATATAGATATATATTACTCTGCCCTGACCTAATGTTTATTGAAAAGAAACAACTCATCTGAAAACAAGCTCAAAGTCATAGAAAATACTTTAGCAGAATGACTATTGCAATGTATGTCGTTATAAGCTCATTTATCCAGGGAAGACAATAAGGAGTAGAAAACTAAAAACGTCGTTTGGATAGAATAAAACTTTGTTTTCAATAAAATAGAGTGTTTTTAGACAGCTGTTTATTTGTTAAATACTAGTCACAGTGCTTATCGATATAGGCGTGACTACAAAATCCTGCGTAGACCATCATTTACGCTCGAATACAAATCTAATGAATTATGCAACCGAACATAGAATAAAAAGATAATATATGCAGTTGGACTAACGTTTGGTTTGTAGTGAGATAAACTGTATTTATCAAAATATTTGGCAATGTAATTTATTTACATCATCTATATTATTATTATTCTGCTTGTTTGTATGTGCATGCGTAGTTAGAATGTTTCTCCAAGAAAAACCGCGCATGCGCATTATTCACTCGACGACAAACAGTCTGCCTGCGGCAGAGAGCTGCAAAGCTCAGTGATTAAGTAGTAGCTAAAATTGCTGTATGAAACAAGATATAACAACAAAAGAGGAATGTAAAGATATTTTACTAACCATTTTGTACAACATAATATTAAAAACTTATTGAAGTTTTTAAAAAAGGCTTGATGTCAGGTCGTAGAACATTATAAGTTTATTTATCGATAGTATTCAGTACAATAAGGTTTAGCCCTAACTAAACTATAGTAATAAAAAAAACGTATACAGGTTACAGTTTTAATTTATCTCTTTCTCGAACTTAGGCCTAATATAATGTTACGACAGCGGAAATCACGTGACGCTGCTGTCTCATACGTGACTGAGTTTCTCAAATTATTGGGAAACCCCACGAATTTTGGAGAAGCCTCTTTGTTAGTATATAAGCATGGCAGAGAAAACCAGCGGATATATGTTAATGATAAAGCGAACAGTAAGTACGGTGAGGTTCTGGTAATTTACGATTCTGTTTCGAGCTAGTGTGTGTTTTGCACTCCTAGAGAGCGAAATTATCGAAATTGTGAATCGCTGTGA